GAGCAAAACGCCGGGCCGCTTTAAACGTACAGAGTGTCTCGTGGACAATGTCAAGAGATCACTGGAACCTTGCCAGCGACAAGGAGCTCGTGCCTCTTTCTTTCTCTCAGTTGTTCTTGTGAGGTCCCTAATGAGCACACCTGGACAGCAGTCACGACGTCTCGACATTGTTCACTCAATAGAATCTCTGGGTGGCTTGAGAGTCGTTCATATCCTTTCAAAGGCATGTGCTGTTTGTTGTTGTTACGTGCTAATGACTTGCGAAATTACTCTTAAGGCAACAAAAAAACCTGTTATTATCTCGGCTTCGTTTCAAAACAGAATGTCTCTTCTGATATAATGGTGAGATGTTTCCATTTATCTATACTCGTTGTCATTCGCCTTAATTTGAGATTAGAGTAGTTACGTTGCTTGGAGAGTGGTGGCACACCGTGCTGTGAAACCCGGCAAATAAAAAATGTAAACACAGAATGAATGAATAAAAAATCGAAAAGTAATTACATGTACTGTCTAAACATTGAAAGTTACTGAAATTCAATCAATCAATATCCACAAAATATTACAAATTTTGGAGAAAACAACTGTTGTTGCGCCTCCATATACAAAAATCTAATATCTAAGAAAAAGTAATCTGAAACCTATCCCAAGAATAATGCAATGGAAAGGGGCATATGAATCACTTGGAATGGTATTTGGAATGACTCGAATTATTCTGGTTAATAAGCCTGCTGCTTCATTTTACAGCCTTTTAGACATTGACTTCCAGGCAAAATAAAATGTTGTGTCTGCAGTTTTAGAGAGTCATTTTTACTTTGCATTTATGCAGAGTGCACTTGTCTGGCTATTACGTGTGCGTTAATTGTATGTTGTGCAGTATCTGTAACAGCTGTTTATGCTCACAGTAAGTCCCACAGTAATTACTTTTACAATTTACAGATTACAAAAATTAATGTGGTTGTGAAATTGTATATGCGTGACTGAAGCTAATTCAAACCACATAGGCGTAAACGGAAAACTAAATAACCCGCGTATGCTTGCAGACTTCAGTACTCTGTATCGTATTGCACGCACGTGCTTTTGTGTTAACACTTGGTGTAATTGGATAGACATTGCTGCACATACTGGTCAGGATAATTATGTGATTGACCTTCATTCGTTGGGTCACATCTCAGTGTTTGTTTTTTTGTTGGATTTGACATTGAATTTAAAGGAATACTGCCGTGGCGCAATGATTAGGGCACTGAACTTTGCAATGCAGGTAATCGGCTCCATCTCCCTGCGTGGTAGTTTAAACCATCGGGCACATTTCCCAGCGGCATACATTGGTGCACCAGAGATAGTTGATCGGCAGGTTCTGTGTGATGGGGTAAAGAGTGGGTACTCCGACCTATTCCAAGACCTCTGGCCATCATGGAAGAGGAGGCTAAACAACCCTCTCCAGAGTTCCCTCCACGGGATAATCTTCCACCAGCAGTGGCGTAAGCGAGCAATTGCAGGGCTGCCCCTTTACCTCCTACTCTACGACTAACGAGTATCTTGATTGTGATCATTTTCAAAACGAATGCATTTACAACTTGCAAATATATATATATAACACTGACAATATTAAAATGATTGCATTTAGACAAGAAAGCAAGCGTCCATGCTTAAGTCATTTGTGGCATTTTGCATCAGTCGTAATCCCTTCCAGCCACAATGTGCCCTGCCTCTAGCCCACTGACATTCCCTCACAGTGCAGATGCCTCTGATTTGCGTCAAGTTCTCTAAAGGGTGCAATCCTCTTTCTGTCTCGCCGTGTCATTCCAGACACGCACGCCTCAGTGACCCTTTGAGAACTTTTCACGCATTGTGTCATGTTGTTTGACATTGCCCATGTTTCCGATCCATGTGTAGTGAGTCCAACCGAGTCGCAGACGTTGTTCCTTTTTAGAGGCAACGCATTTATTTGTAACACCGTAACACAAAGGGATAACTGCCCCTTCACCAGATACAGCCTAGGGTGGTGGCCACCCAGCTAAACTACTCTCTACAGAGGAGTTACTGCTACGAAGGGTCGGACCCTCACTCGGGTCCGCGACCGACCACGTGGTTGCATAAATGTGACGTGGAGCTCCAGCTGGTGGACGTGGAGATCCAGCTGGTGGACGTGGAGCTTCAGCTGGTGGACGTGGAGCTTCAGCTGGTGGACGTGGAGCTCCAGCTGGTGACGTGGAGCTCCAGCTGGTGACGTGGAGCTCCAGCTGGTGGACGTGGAGCTCCAGCTTTGTAGGATGCAGCGACCCCGGTTCTTCTCAGGGACCCGCCTTATATCTCCCCACGGGTCGGGGCCACTCCGCCCTTGGCCCCGCCCGCCTTCTGGAGCCTTCCAGCTCACCCTCGATCCCTCTCGAGAGCTCTCCCCGGACACGTGATCACCCACTAGCCCCCCCCCCCCCCCACCTGGGGGCCTCTGTGTGGACACTCCGGATCACGTGTCTACGGGGTCAACCAGAGCGCCATGGCCCGAGGCAACCCTGCCCCTGGGCTGACACTCACCCGCTCCCCCTTGTGGGAGCCCGCACTGCACGCCATGCGTGGTGCCCGCGCTATCCCAGCGCTCACCAAGGGCCTCGACACTGTGCTGAGCGGCGTCTGTTCTCACAGGGGGCGGGAAGAGGGGAGGGGTTTCAGGGTTGGGGTGGCCACGTGGTTCACTAGAGGCTTGTGCTGATTTAAACACGTTCCTTCGGAGTGGGCAGGTAGGAACTTGGTTGGACAGCGCATTCGTGCACGACAGACAGACAAAGAATCCCTGGTGGGCGTGTGGAACCTGTTGTTCCTACCTGTGTAAGTGTAGTGTATCGTGTCGTTTATAGTGTAGTGAGTAGGTTAAACGTTGAGTTTTATAAGGGCACCACGGGGTGACCAGCCCCTGCCCACCCAGCCCCACCCCTCACACCCCCACCCAGCCCCACCCTCCCCACCCAGCCCCTCCCTCCCCACCCAGCCCCTCCCCACCCAACCCCTCCCTCCCCACCCAGCCCCTCCCCACCCTCCCCACCCAGCCCCTCCCCACCCTCCCCTCTCCACCCAGCCCCACCCTCCCCACCCAGCCTCTCCCTCCCCACCGAGCCCCTCCCTCCCCACCCAGCCCCTCCCTCCTCTCTCCACCCAGCCCCACCCCTCCCACCCCCCACCCTCCCCTCCCCATATGCACGACAGACAGACAAATAATCCCTGGTGGGCAGTGTGGAACCTGTTGTTCCTCTACCTGTAATATAATGCGCAGTACAGCTCAGCACTGATTGAAAACTTTATTCTTTAGGCACATTGGTTTGTTGCTTCATATTATAAATTTAAACTTTGTGAAAGCACTGAAACATGCGCTCTCTCTCTCCCATTTAGAAACATGCATGTAGATTATTAAAATTATTTTGCTGCCATAAATGTCCACGTTATAAGCCATTGTGTTGAGCTATCATTTGTGACCAGGTCGCTTTTGAAAATGAAGTTAATACCTGAGTGAGATTTGTCTGGTAGGATGGTTTAGTTTAATGTGTATGTATTTGGGTGACTTGTTTACCTTTCGTAACTGGACATCTGTGAAAAAAAGAGCTTTATAGCTCATGGGATTCCTGCAGTGTCAATATTCTGATCTCTTTCTAGTTCATTTTGATCAATAGCTGTCCTTGACATAATAAATAAACGCAGAATTGCCTTCGATTTTTTTTGTAAAGTAGCCTTCAAAGAAACGTCATTGTCAGGAGGAAAACAACAACAAACAAACAATTTAAATTACAAATCCACTCAAGCTACTCAATTCAATCCGCCTCATATTCTACCGCACAAATCAAAACTTAAAAAGTCGACCTCGGCTCCTCACCAAAGCGCCAGCAGCTCCTGAATGCGTCGAGCAATCCGCCTTCTCAGAGCAGCCTCGCGTTGCTCAACAATACATTCACGTGTTTGTGTGTGTCTCTGTGTGTGTGTGTCTGTGTGTCGGTGTGTCTCTGTGTGTGTGTCTCTGTGTGTGTGTGTCTGTGTCTCTGTGTGTCTCTGTGTGTGTGTCTCTGTGTCTGTGTCTCTGTGTGTGTGTGTCTCCATCTATGTGTCTCCGTGTTTCTGTGTGTGTCTCTGTGTGTGTTTCTGTGTGTGTCTCTGTGTGTCTCTGTGTGTGTGTCTGTGTGTGTGTCTCTGTGTGTGTGTCTCTGTGTGTGTCTCTGTGTGTGTGTCTCTGTGTGTGTGTTACTCTGTGTGTCTCTCTGTGTGTCTCTGTGTGTGTCTGTGTGTCTCTGTATCTCTCTGTGTCTCCGTTCGATCACAGCACTTGCCTCAAGTCTTTTTGAAGGCTACACAGGGGATCTTTGTCTGTGTTGTGTGAGTGGGGAGCGCCAACACCCAAAGTGACGATTATCTCAACCGGTTCTGGGCCGCCCCTAGGTTGGCTCAGCCTTAAACGAGTAACCCGGTGCGGTGTGTAAAACATCGCCACTTGGGGGGAGACAAAGGCGGCCGGGCGTGGTTGCTGCCCCCCCCAGTACCGACTTTCAAAGGCTCACAGCACTTCCCCCCCAGTCCGTGACAGGCTACACGGGGGACCTTTGTCTTTGTTGCTAGTAGCAACGTCGTCGTCCCCCTCCTCCTACGCGACTTGCAGTGTTGGGGGGGGGGGCTATGGGGGGGGGGGGGGTTTATATCGCGCGCATGTTTACACGCGGCGCGTGTCGCCAGGGCGGTAACCCGGGGCGGCCGCTGCCCCACCACAATCAACAACAACACTGCGCGCGAGACCCCGCCCCCCTCCAGCCCCCGCCCCCGAGTTTGATTCCCCAGCGCGGATGCGCAATGTGGAGGCTCGCCATTGGCTCGCTGCCAACACGGGCACCCCCCCCTCCACACAGCCCCCCCCCCCCCACTCTCCCAAACAGCTCGTCCAATGGAGACGCGCGCCGTGCAACTCCGTTGAGCTCGCTCGGCCAATGAGGAGCGAGGATGCGCTCGAGCCCGCCGATGCGCGCTGGGAAATTGAGCGCGCGAGGGTTGTACAATTCGCTGTCGGGAGTTGTCATATCGGCGGTGCCCCGAGGTCGCTTCTCTGTCGATGGCGGGGGGAGTTCACATCTAGAATTGTACATCCATAAGTTGTTGTTGCTGCTGCTGTTGCTGCTGCTGCTCGAAACCCGAAGACGTCGCAGACATGTTCAAGAACACGTTCCAGAGCGGCTTCCTGTCGATACTCTACAGCATCGGCAGCAAGCCGCTGCAGATCTGGGACAAGAAGGCAAGTGGCACGCGTTGGCCGCCACGCGGCGCCGAGGGACTTGCAGCCAGCTTTACTTAAACGGGTCCAGAGTTTGTGTGGAAGAGTAGGCCAAGTTACCCTCTAAGACAGGGCGGGGGGGGGGGGCTCTGTGGAGCTCCCTCGTGAGCGAGCGGGTGCAGGGCCGCAGTGCCGCTACTTGGGCCCTGTCCTCCAACACATGTCGCACATTGATCGCGTTACGGCGGATAATCGTGAGCGTGACGGACGCAGCGCTGTGTGGCATTCACGACGGAGGAGTCTTCCAGAGCTGAGGACATCGGCTCGTGCGTTCAGGATTTACGCGGTGGTGGTGGTGGTGGAGGTTGTTGTTGAATGGTAACCACTTTTGACGGAGCGGCTTGGGTGAAGCCTTCCTTCATCCATGGTGCCCTCTGCTGCCCACCGATTGCTCTGCAGCAGCCGAATTTAAAACAATATTTTTGTTATTCATAATGCAGGTGTTTTTTTTATTTGGGTTAGATCGCGTAAATATGTAAATGTGTCGTTAAACCCGCCACCACCCGACAGAGCCAATTAGTGAGGTTTGTCACGTAAAGAACGTGCCAATTCGGTACTAGTTGGAGAGCCAAGCCACAACATTTACAATTTGAGTACGAAGTTTTGCCAGTAATTACAACTAGCTTCATCAGGCGATAGCCAGATTTGTGGATACATTCTCTCGCGCGATCTAACCCCCCCAAAATACACCTGTATTAAGGACGATATTGGTCGCGAAAGCCTACGTGCTACAATGTATTTTTAGTTTTACCAGGTAAGCCCCCCCCCCCACTCGCTATCACAAATGATAGCTCAACGAAGTGGCTTGTAATGTGGGAAAACCCGGAGGGCCCGGAGAAAAATCCATGCCACCACGGGGAGAGAGAGAGAACACGCAAACTCCACATATACAGCAGCAGGAGTCGGGGTCGAACCCACGACCTCCTGTATACCAGACGAGGCAGTTAACATCTCATAGCCACCGTGATGATGATGAGAGAGACACACAAACTCCAAATACACAGCAGCAGGCGTCACGGTCGGGATTGAACCCACGAACTCATGTGTACCGAGAGAGGTAGTTAACATCTCCTAGCAACTGTGGCGCTTTAATCGGGCAGGCTCACAACGTGCTTATTTTCTCGAGATTCATCCACCCAAATGTAACGTAGAGAAAAACAAACTTAAAATAAAAGAAATCTGTATATTCAAGATGTTCCATCATATGTGTTGTGTGTGTGTGTTGTGTGTGTTTGTCTTTACTGCAGGTCAGAAACGGGCACATCAAGCGCATCACAGATAATGACATCCAGTCACTGGTGTTAGAAATTGAGGGAACAAATGTCAGGTCAGTGCCTATTCAACGCATACGTTGTCAAACAATACAAGGTGATAATACCAATGATTTAGAAAACGTTGACTATACAGATGGAGATTGTTTCCGCCTCTTTAAGGCCCAAGGCTGGAGGACACATTGGATGCCGGTTTGTGATTACCAGCGAAAGACATCCGTACCCAGTTGTGAAAGGTCGTGGATTGTTCTCTCAACACACCGGTGTGCTGTAGTGGCAGTAATAAATTTTCACTTCTATTATTTACGTGACAACTTTATGAATCGGCTGTGTCAGGTGAACGAGGGTGTATGACACATGGAACTTACACGATCTGACGCAATGATCAATTATACACTGGTCAACAAAAAGAAAAAAATTCTGGCCTGGACTTTTGCAGCTGTTTTAGACTAATTTCAGGGTGCTGATTCCAAATCTGATCTCAGATTTGCTCTATCACATCTCATTTTTATGCTATCAGCATACCCCATTTTCATTGATTTTACCTGAAATTAACTGCCACTTATGATTGCAAGTTGTTGCGAGTCAGTGACTGCTTTAGTGTTACAATATGGTGCTGTATTTTTAGGATAGTGTGTTTATAATATCATTTTATGTAGATATCCACATTAATTTAATATTTTTCTTCTGCAGTTTTTATTGCAAATGTAATATTTGATATCTCAAAAACCTGATGTGATAGACAAAAACTGATGCCAGATTTGGAATCAGCACCCCAAAATTACCTTATCCCAGAAAAAGTGTGTGACCAGTGTTATGAGCCGTAATATTGGTCGCGAAAGCCTACGTGTTAATTTATCAGTTCAAATTTTTTATTAAATTGTTGACTTTCCACGAGTATATACACTATTGGCATTTTCGGGTTTATGTGTTCGGCCATGGACCCTCGCTTGTGCTGCACACCACCAATCCGCACTGACCAGCGTGGTGAAGTATGGTCAAATAAACCCCCATGACCCACGCAGCGTGGGAGGCCGCCTTCCAAAAGTGCATTAAACAGGGCTGTGTGTGTGTACGTTTGCATCGTTATACGAGTCCTAAAGATTGGCAGTTCTGTTGAGTATTTGTATTAAGTGAGACATCATTGCAGATGGAAATCCACATGGTAACCATTCCCTAAACAAATCCTTTCGGCAGAATATAAACATTAATATGCAACTTTGTTCCCATGGTATGTGTTACTATATACGCAAGTCATGAACAAAACTATTTTTTAACACGATACTTGTATAAAATTTTGCAATGTGATCATCACTTTTGATGCAGCTTCATTTTACATAACGGAGTAAACAAAAGTGTAAAAATGACGTAAAAAACTCGAGACAATACACATCAGATACAACAAATGATACACAAGTAAAGATACAAAAATATAACGAAGTAATTGATTTTTGAGTCGTAATTGTGGCACATCGAATTGCTGGGAGGTGCATCACAATACGTGTGCTGCAGCAGTGCATGTAATGCTGCCCATGATTTGGGACTTTGCTTTATCTCCGCAGTACTACATACATCACGTGTCCTGCCGACCCAAAGAAGACACTTGGAATCAAGCTCCCTTTCCTCATCATGATCATCAAAAACCTTAAAAAGTATTTCACCTTTGAAGTCCAGGTACGCACATTTCACAGTCACGTGTGTAATTACGTAATTATAACAACAATAATACACCAACTATTTTACTAAAAGACGTATTTCCGTACAAAAACGTTTGGGGTGGAATGGTAGCTCAGTGGTTAGCACACTGTGCAATAAACCCGGCCATGTGAGTTATTTTCCCGACCACGTTTAATGTCATTCATTGGTGATTGATATCTAAGCAGTTGGTTGTCCCCATTTCACCAACCCACGCTGACCTGTGTGGTGAAGTATGGTCAAACACATCGCCATAACTGGGGAGGCCTTCTTCTTGGTTCTTTTGGTAAAGTCATGTAGAATGGAAACAATAAAAATAATAAAATAAAACATAATCAAATATTTCTCACGACGTTTTGGCCACAACGCAAGCAGCCGTCATCAGGTGAAGATCAGGTCTGTCGGGGAGACAGCGTCTGAATGAAACAGCACCATGCTTGGAGCGTATATTTAAGCTGGGTTGGAAGGGGAGGGGAAGGGCGCCTTGACAAAATAATTTGCATATCAAGAGGAATTTAGCATATTTATGGGCATATTTATGGAAAATGCAGGTATGTGATTAGTACTACTTATGCCTTCATCCTGCATTTAATTAATAAGAAACAATGTTGAACGATGTAATTTTTCGCCACGTAGAAATAAAATAACCTTTTTTAGTTCTTTCAACCTACGTGCCTTGTGGAGCAATGCGTTCTTACAGGGTTTGTTTTAAGTCGGGTGACAAGTAGACAGTTTGCACCTCCGATGAGCACGGTTGGCTACGTATGGTGCGAAAAGAAGTTCAACATGCATACACACACACAGTTGTTGTTAAGAGTCCACGGGTGCCCATCTTCCTTGCATTGGTCTCCTTGCACACAGGTGCTGGACGACAAGAACGTGCGCCGGCGATTCCGAGCCAGCAACTACCAGAGCACGACGCGCGTGAAGCCCTTCATCTGCACCATGCCCATGCGCCTCGACGACGGCTGGAACCAGATCCAGTTCAACCTCTCGGACTTCACCCGCCGAGCGTACGGAACCAACTACATCGAGACTCTGCGCGTGCAGGTGATTGCCCGTCGCGTGCAGGCACATGGCTCATCGTCATTCCAACGCGGAGATGGGAAGAGGCGGCGTTACACTTGCGGAGTCTCTGCGTGCTGTGGCTTGCGTCGCTAACTACTGGTAGTCCCCGACTTACTATGGGGTCGTCGTAACGCATCTCCATCGTATGTCGGGGACTACCAGTACTGGGATTTCTATGCATTTGATGGCCCCCTTTCTTTTTTATTGCGTGGTCTCGCACGGTTTTCGAAAGCCCATTTGGGTCACGTGAAAACGGTGTTGCTGCTCTAACAAGCGCTGGGGCAACGCTTGTGTCTGATTGTGAGCCCTGGGCAGTTGGAGGGACCTCTCAGTTTGCTAGGCCAGTGGCTAGCAGCTAGCGGCTGTGTCTTTGCATAGGATTACCACTTTTTCCACATAGTGGTACTCTTTTCATTTGTTTGTTATTGTCTATATCACTCGATTGAATCTGCACTCTTGTTTTTCTCGTTTGTTAGTGTGTGACATAATGGGCTCTCTCAACCCTTTGTGTTTCTTAAATGACAATTTATAAGCCGGTAAGTTAGCGGCTGGCTCGCCATTCGGTGATTGCAAGTTCAAAACCTCGCCAGCGGTTGCCTCAGGCCTTCATCCCTCCCTGAGATCGATAAGTTGAGTCACGCTGTGTGATGTCATTAGTGGTTCTATGTAATTGCTCCTCCCCGCTGTGGGTTTATGGGATTGCTGCCACTGATTTTAGGGATATGGATGGGGAAAAAGTACCTTCTCATTAACGTTTGAGCAGAAAACCACTTAGACTTTTCATTGTTGTGCATTAGCGCTGCTCTTTGCATTTCGTTTTTTGTCCTTCCCCTACATCTCCGATTATCACGGATGGCTACGTATGGTGCAAAAGAAGTTCACGCATTCATACAGCACACGAGACAGGTTCGCATGCGTTTACAACATGCTGAATGTGAGAAGTCAGTTAAGGAAATTATCCTTGTACCTTTTAATGTTTGAACTTGTTGAATATCAAAACTGATGCTGCCGCTGCTGCCGTTTGACTTCAGAATCTGAATCTTGATTTAGATTGGAGCAATCCCACAAGCTGCGAAGCTCCTTTTACTGCCTTTGGCGTGTGGAGCATGAGTGCTGCGCTGGTTTCCGAAATTTGTGTTTCCGTTGTGTGGCAGATTCACGCCAATTGCCGAATCCGACGGGTCTACTTCTCCGACCGCCTCTACTCGGAGGATGAACTTCCGGCCGAGTTCAAGCTCTACCTCCCCGTGCAGAACAAGAACAAGGCGAGTAGACTGGCACGAGGGGTAAAGGTGGCCAAGGTGCAGCCCTGCGATCGCTCGCTGCCGAGCCCCTCCTGAAAGAAGGGGGGGGGGGGCAGTGTCTTGTGAAGGCCCTCCTAGAGCAGTGGTTAGTCACAAACTGTACATAAATTAGCCGACTGCTTGCATAGTTAATACAAAAGCAAAACCCTAACAATTAATACGTAAATAACGAGAAAACATACATTTGTTTGGCTACTACTGTACCCCCCCCCCCCCCTTTGCCTGACCGCCAACATGGTTCTGAGAAATAAATGTAATGAATAATGAAAATCACTAGTTTAACCTCTTGTCCACTTTGTGAAGTATCCCTAACTAGCTAGTAACTGCAAGCGAACAAAATAAAAATTCCACGGATGCTCTGCATGCGCGATGTCGTTTGCTCACGCTCGCTGTTCACGATTGCTGAGTTTAGAAAGGCCTTTTATATCGTTCTAGATTACCCTATAGATTTCATTGGTATCGTCGTTTTATATTGGCAGATTCATACGTGATTATTTGCCAACGATTCTCGTGCACAATATAATTTCACACGTTTACAAATAACCTCACGTGTACCCCCTGGGACATTGCCACGTGTACCCTCAGGGCTCTGCGTACCCCCGACTGAGAGAACCACTGCTCTAGAGGGTAATTTGGCCTACTCTTTCACGCTGGTCACATGTATTTCAAGAAATTGGAGTACCCCCCCCGCTTTACTCCAATGTTTCAGGTCACACTCATTCCACCACACAAAGTGTTTGCTACAAATTAACCACAATACCTTGCTGATCTAGTCAAGGGGCAAACACCATCCCATCAACGCTGGTCACCCTCACAGCAGCGGCTTTTGGCTAATAATTATTATTAATTGAATAAAGACGGTCACCTCTTCGCGGGCTTTCAGATGCGTTTCTGATGCCTTCTGGAATGCACTTCCCATATTAAGAAGCCACTGGAGCTATGCACTTTTAAATCTAGATTGAAAACTCGTTTCTTTAGAACAGCTTTTTGTGTGTAGTTAATTGTCCTATCCCCCGCACCTTCAGTAAGCATGTTTGGCTACGTACGGTGCGAAAGAAGTTCAACATACACATACAGCCAAGTAACTGGGATGCACCCATTAATGCTGCTACTGCTAAGCATCCACTATATAGTCATTGAGGAAAGACCAAACCCAAACAACACAGCTTTCATCTTGTTGACATTTTACCCTGGGCTGAGTGTAATGAGCCGTCCAACGTAAGATTGTAGATTCATTGAGAAAAAAAACATTTAAAGTAGCAGCAGTGACATCGCTGCAGCATTCCTCCGTTATAGTCCCAAGTATCGCGATAGAGTTCCTGACTGTAGTGAGAACTGGTGGGCGCTTTGTCTTCACCAATGAAGCTTTGTCTTGTTGCACGGCTCGGGACCCTCGGCTTAGTAACACCGTTGCAATATAAAAGCTCTCTATTTTTTGGGTTGCGTCCTGAACAGAAAGAAGCTAGTGTGGAGATGATATTGCCACAGTATTGATTATGCTGGTGGTTTAGAAAAAAATACTATGCACGCATTTATCATAGTTCAAATGCAGTGTATGTTTAACTTTCTGCGGAGCATGTTCGCGGCTCATGAACTCTTGAGGATAAAGCAGGAGCCACGCTGGAGTTACTGAATTTAATTTTTGCTCGAGTAAGGTGGAAGGGACTTTGGCCAGGTTTTCGGTGTGTCTAAGCAAGTACAAAAACATCACCAAGTTACCGCCGATTGCACAGGTCGTACGTATGTTGAACTTCTTTCGCACCGTACATAGCCAACCGTGCTAATCGGAGCTGCGGGGGAAGGACAACAAACTAAGGGTCTCTAAGTCTCTGGGTATCTGCTGTGTGAGTCTATGGGTCTTTGCTGTGTGTGTCTATGGGTCTCCGAGTGAGTCTATGACTCTGTGATGAGTCTATGGGTCTCTGTGTGAAGGTGCGGGGGAATGACAAGAAACTGAACACACACAACAACATAAAGGATACCGCCAATGAACCTGCACGAAATTGATAACCAAGCAGGCGTTCCCATTTGTGGGAGCGCCCTTTTAAGTAACGCGCACCCTCAGGCGTCGGAGTTGCCCTGCTCCAGCGAGCGGCGGGCGGTTTGCTCGCATCCGGCGGTGGAAATCTGTCGCCGCTGTTTGCCGAGGCTGCTGGTTTTTCGCAGCACCCAAGGGCAAAGGACGAACGCGTCACGGGACACGGCGTGACAAGGGCACTTCTTGTTCGCATTTCCACCCCAGCGACTTGCCTAGTGAATTGTTGCATAACGACCTGCTCCCCCCCCCCCACCCCCCTTCTTGTGTTCACAGTAGTAGGCATCTCCCGGAGGCTTTGGAAGACGGCGGTGTGAAGATGCGTGTGCATTCAGGACCTTCTTCCCCCTCGCCCACGGGGATATTCGAATGTATTTATCACGGCTGGTTAGAAACGTTCACTCACCTTGGCTCGCGACGCGAGTGCTCTTCCGTTTTTTTCTACGCTTTTCCGGCATAAACAAGCCCTCTTGCCTCTGCTACAACTGTATCCTCTCCGTACCAGCATACACGGCTCACATTACCCGCGAGCATTCTTACACGTAAGCACGCACGCACGCACGTGTGTGCACATGTACGTAGGTGTGCCGAGTGAATAATTGTGCACGTGCGCACAAGCGTACTTTTGTGCATACCTCCGTAGTTGTGTATTAGCGCGTACATATTTTATCGACGGCAACTTTGCAGCAGAGACCTACTACAGAGAACGCATCGTCCCTGTAAATGTGAAGTTAAGCAGCGCGTCGCGTGCTCTCGGACGCACGTTTGAAGCTTTCGTAATTAGAATTAACAATGGAAGTTTAAAATCACAAACGCACTCCAGCTATGTTGCAGTAATCCCATTTGCATAACACGTACGGAAGTGCCGCCACAGTGACATCACTGGAGTGGTCCTTGGTGGTTTCCAAATATTCTTCTCAGTGTTTCAATCCGGTGTTTGAGAGAGTCTTGAGGCGACACTGCTTGGGGTACTTTGCAATCACAGGAACCGTTTGGATCTTGTTGGTTTGTGTCTTTCAGTAAAATAATGTAATTTGTGTAGATTACAGTGAACCCTTGTTAATTCGACACGTGGGGCTCTGGCCTTGCCGAATTATTCAATATTCCGAATTATGTACAATGGTACTTGCCAGTGCCTCCTGTCCCAATAAAAAAAAAATCCAAATTTGTTTCCCAAACTCTTCACACGCCATACGCATTGACACACACACCCCGCATCAATTGTATCCAAAACTCTGTATTTGTCTCGCAGACTTAGGGATTCATACCTCAGTCCCTTTCCATTATGTCTTGATGTAGGTGTAGACGACATTGCTGAGAGGGTTGGCTTACACAGAGTGCATAAGCAAGGTAAAGTCCAAAGCGACGGCTCTGCACTAACGCTCACCACGCTCGCCACGCTCGCCACGCTCGCCACGCTCGCCACGCTCGCCACGCTCGCCACGCTCGCCACTCTCGCCACGCTCGCCACGCTCGCCGCCACAAGACCAAGTCAATGTTTTGGTCGTTGCTCACATCGTTGCTCCACGTGCATGCTGCAATTGGACATTCGGTGTGGCAATTTGGCTCGTGGCGAATTGCTAATAACACCGTAAATATGCCGAAAGCGCAGCCGTGCTGAATGATCCCCAATTACGAATGATCAAATACCGCAATAACGAGGTTTTACTGTGCATTGCGTAGGTAATGAATGGACTCGTTTCTTCTCGCCAGTGAGATCGGTGTGCTGTGGCGCATTGAATCGTGAAATTAATATACTTATGTTAAAACCTTTCTATGTTTTCCGTCTTGAGAAATTGTCGTTTCGATGTTAGCAGATGTTTTGGTTTGTGTTTTAAAAAATAAATACATCTAAATGGTTGTACATTTGAAGTTGTACACGAAAAAAGAAAAAGTTTCAACTTAAATAAACTTATTTCATATGAACATGCGTTTCGGCTGCATTATTTAAACACAATAAAAACGTAAATTCAGTGACACACAACCCAGTTCTACAACAAATTTCAAATGCATTTCTACGTGTATGGGCATATTTAAATCTTAGTAAATAATGTAAATAAGATTAAGGCAGTTGGCTAATAATGAGTACTTTCACTGCATTTGCATGACAAGAAGATGAATGGCCTAGTTAAAGTGTTGGCATACAAATGTTTTTTTGCTTGTCGGATTGTTTGGTGATGGCGTGCCAGCCAGTGTGTCATTACCAACAATGGGGCAAATTGCCGAGCGGCACCTTGGCGGAGAGATCCTCTCTCCTTCGCCGGTTTACGCAGGAGGTTGTGCGTTCGATTCCGGACCCTGACGATGCCTGTTGTGTATTTGGAGTCTGCTTGTTGTCTCTCGTCCCGTGGCGGCCGCGTGGATTTCTCTCCGGGTTCCTCCGGTCTTGCCCTCCGCCACATTTCTGACGGCAACAGCGGCGCACGTGGCCGTGCCGTCGTGCGCGCTTCGTGACTTGCTGAGCAGCAGCTGCCGCGACAAATCGTCACCAGGGGTGATCGTCACCTCCGCTTTAAACTCTTCAGCAGGGATGATGATGACGATGATTGTGACGATCATGATGATATCAATGATGATGACAATGATTGTGACTGATGATTGTGACGATCATGATGATGACTGATGATTGTGACGATCATGATAACAATGATGATGACAATGATGATTGATGATAACAATGATGATGATTGATGATTGTGACGATCATGATAATGATGACGATTATGACGATCATGACGATAATGATGATGACAATGATGATTGTGATGATCATGACGATAACAATGATGTTGACAATGATGACGACGATGGGCCGCATTCCAGAAAGGGAACGACCCTCGTCAGTGACGTGTCAGTCAAGATGCGGGGTTATTTTTTGACCATACTTCACCCCATACTGTGTCCGTGCAGATTTGTGAAGTCGAGTGAGGGGGGGTGGGTGCTGTACCGGCCAAAATGTCTCTAGCTTCGTGTGGTCGCTCTGGCTCCGGTCATCCACGCAGCAGCGGCTTTTGGCTAACCATCCGATGCGCTTCTGCGGCCATCTGGAACGTTCTTCCTTCCGATATTAGGAAGCCACTGGAGCTATGCACTTTTAAATGATCATCTAGATTGAAAACTAATTTCTTGAGAACTACTTTGTTATGTTTGGCTACGTACGTTGCTAAAGAAGTGGCTGCCTTCCCATTTTCAATTCCAAGTTCGTGTTGTTCAACGAGGTGTGAATTCTTTAGATACCAAGCTATCGGAATAAGTATTGATTACTGGAGGAATCCGACGAGCTATAAAGCTTTTGGCCAGTGGAGACGGATCACCGTCCAGTAGGAGCGGGTCAGATAAGTGACCGGGTTCAAGGCTTTCCCTGTTTCTTCAACAACACAGACACGTGTCCACCGTTTCTGTACGGCATCTTGCGATGCTCGGCCACAATATGAATCCAAAATTGCGCTGCAGAATACCCTCCATACACGGGTGCCAGAACGATATTAAATATATATATACCGTACAAATGAATAAAACTTGAAGCCACGTGACGTTAATTATAATCCACACGCGTATGGAACAGATTGACGTGATTACAACAGTGATGTCAAATTATGTCACGTAAGGGCTGACATTGGTTTAAGAAGGGACGTTTCATCAAGGTAATGATCGCCAACTAACAATTGCTCTACCGCAGTGCACTAATTGCCAAGTCATCTTTGACTGCTAATAAACTAAACAGTTTTACTATGGGGACCTCATTTGCCAGTAAAAATATGATAATTGGTTCTTTACCCTTCTATCTGGCAACAAAACTGACACCTTTTTACAAGGAGTCATGTTTGCATAGACCACAATACCTGCAGTCATAAATACAAACAAAATACATAACTGATAATGTGCACTGCAATCAACTTCAGGGACAGTGCACATTATCAGAGTTATGTATTTTGTTTGTATTTATGACTGCAGGTATTGTGGTCTATGCAAACATGACTCCTTGTAAAAAGGTGTCAGTTTTGTTGCCAGATAGAAGGGTAAAGAACCAATAAACAGTTTTACTCAAGTGTCGTCATAGGGTGTTAGGAATGACGTCTAACCTGGAATGCGCTTGACGTGACGAGCGTGGCCAGGCAGGGGGGCTCGCACCCAGCATGGCACAAGCGCCGTGGCAACGTCACCGCCACTTGGTGGTGAACGGCGATAGTAATGTTACGTCGAGCCCTTCTCAAATCCACTGCTGGATGAATGCCCCCCACGCACGCCTTCTGATCCCTCCCAGTCTGCCCACACGTGGCTGTCTGTGTGGAACGGGCACGCTGCGCCCGTTCAGGCCCCACGTGTTTGAGAGTCAACAAATGTGCACAATGTACGGCAATTATAAAACATTTCGCGCACATTGAGTTTTAATTTAAATTGTCACGCATTACGGCGGGCTGGAACCGAATTGCTTTTAAACTAAATAGTTTTTAACTGCCGCACTCCTGGCATTAAAGCAGTTATTGGGCGTTTGACATTTAACGTCAGTCCAATTTGTTCCCCCTCTTATTTTAAACAAAGGTGACAGCCAACTCGAATTTAAAAAACACACACACCTGTACTACGCAATGAAAACACACACACACCTGTACTACGCAATGAAAACACACACACCTGTACTACGCAATGAAAACACACACACACCTGTACTACGCGGTGAAAACACACACTTTGCACAGTTAAAAGGAGCGGTCAACAAATTAAATAAATTGTTTCTGACATTGATAATTACATTTGTGTTTAAAATCATAATCGCGTTGAGAGCATCCAACGCTAAACTTTGTTTTGCAGATGTAATGTTGGATTTACCGTACTGCTATTTTTAATATTGCAATGTGCTTGCAGAATTCACTTTCTTACAAGTTGATACAAAAAACTAAACGAAAAAAACCATTATTTTGTATCGACCTGTTATGAGTCGTACATTTACCATAAAGTTCAAACTTCTCTTGAGTGAAACGTATTTGGTTTAAGAGATAGGAAGTGAGATGTATTAATTTTAATCTTTACCTACGTGACTTTATCGAAAAAACCTAAGAATATGAATCCTAGAATGTAGTCAGAAGTCCTACAATATATAAGCGACGGGTGTGTATTAAGTCTAGATATACTGCAGGGATGGAGGTGCAAATATATTCCGGAAAATAGCGAAAAGAGAGACGGAGGGAGATTTATTCAGAAGACCTGTCAGAGATATGAGATGGGGCTGTGCGGTAGGGACACGCCCGGTTTACGTCGGAGGATGCGTTCCTGAAAAGTGCGATGACGAATGTCGAAACGACGCCAAACGGAGCGATGTATAGGGGAGTCGTGGGGGGACGTGGAGGGGGAGGCTGAGAGGCGACGGATAACGAGACAGGGCGGGCGATGCTGCTGTGAGCGACGCAAGTGCGGGTTTGGGGCGACGCAAACCCAGTAGCGGTGTTAATGACGTGACGTGGAGCCTGATTAAGCTAGTGCGGGACCTCTAGCATATGTTATAAAGGGGCCCTAAATAAAATAAAAACAAGTAAATATTTAAACAAAATGTTTTACTTGCATAGTAAAATAATTGTATGTTTTAATTTGCTATACAGCCAGATAATACGACAAATCGCTAACCTTAAACACCCAGTGGTTCATAAAAGTTGAAGGCGGTATAGTACTATAGTAATAGAGCAAGTGCAGAATCACTGAACCGGAATCGATAGCTTGAAAGCATTTAGCGCGGGGCCCTTGAAAGTGCTGGGCCCGTAGCTACTACACATATGTAGCTACTACATGTGTAGCTACTGCACGTGCAGCTACTGCACGTGCAGCTACTACACGTGCAGCTACTGCTGCGACGAGGATAATCCGCCACTGGACGTGGATCTTGGTGTGACTGCCCGGTCCGCGAGGTTCCTCCAGGGAGGGGAGGGGGTAAGAGAGAAGGGATAACATCGTCCTGGCCAAGGCCATGTACAACTTTAAATAACTACCAGGAGAGAGCGCACGGTGGTTAAGGGGGTTGGAAAGTGGTCGGCACAACTCGAAAAGTTTGGGGAAATCGCGGATGCTCTGGAGTAAAGGTTACGTCTGTTATACGCCAGCTCTAAGTAGGGTGCAGGGTTCAGGATTATTCTTAAAAATGCAGGCACTACAGAACTATCTTCTTGGTTCTTTCGGTAAAGTCACGTAGAAGGGAAATAATAAAATAACATTCTCACGACGTTTCGGCCACAATGCAAGCAGCCGTTCTCAGGTGAAGAACAGGTCTGACGCTGTCTTTCCGACAGACCTGTTCTTCAGACCTGTTCTTCACCTGAGGACGGCTGCTTGCGTTGTGGCCGAAACGTCGTGAGAATTGTATTTTATAATGTTTTATTTTTATTATTTTATTATTTCCCTTCTACGTGACTTTACCGAAAGAACCAAGAAGATGAATCCCTGCAGTTACGAAAGCTTTAAATCGAAATTTAACTACATAACTAGTCTTTAACATCGCCACATTTGTAATATCATCACTCTATGGTGATCAATCCGCCGTGTATACAATGTCCCCGTAGCACTCGCTATCCACGGGATAGTCATCCTGTGTCTCTGTATGTCTGGAGGAGGGAGAGACACGCGTGTGGATAATGCAGCTGTGACGAGTCTGCCGGGCGCGTGTGAAAAAACAAAGCACGGTAGGGCGATGTCGAGCATGACCTCAGCCCGTAATTGGAGCCATTATTGAGACAGCGGCTCTCATCTGCGGTGGTTGAGATTTGCAAGGCAAGTAAAGTGCGAGGCGCTATTGCGACACCCACCACTTCTCATGCCCATGGCCATACAATTTCCTCCCGTTCTGCGACGGGTTGGAAGTCACGGGGGCAGGCGGAGGCACCGTTTGTTCCAGTGAAGTTGTATTTGTTTCGGGGCGGGGGGGGGGGTCGTATCTGTGA